TTTAGCATTTAATACCATGTTCTGACCGACAACCAAAACATTTTCCTTCATTTTTTTTTCATTTACAACCTTTAACTTTCATTCTTATTTTACTTTGGCCAGGCAATTAACAATAAATCCGAAATGGCGTATTAAAGATGATAAAATATGACTTCCACTTCGATAAATAATCGAAAAAAACTAGTGAAGACACCGATTGGAATGAGTGGAAAGTGAGTTTTCAAGTAGTTTTCAGCGAAAACTGGTTTTCGTTTAACAGATTTTATATGGACGAAAACACAAGTTTTAGGTCGAAAACCAGTTTTAGCAACGAAAACATGTTTCCGATGTCGGTCAGAACATGGTATAAGTGACAAAAACAAGAACAACGTGAATCAGCTGTTTCTCGACTTGTGGGCACGAAATGTGGGTTTTTGCGTTTCCGTACTTCTGAACTTTGTTCCATTTTTGAAAGAAAATGTTTCTCTTATTCTCTAATTACCAAATCCGGTCCGGATTGTTAGGGAAAGAACCTAGTGTTGATATTATCAGTGAACTGTAATTTTCGATTTTCTTACCTCAACGTTTAAGACATTGTGATTTAAATAATATCAACAAAATTTCTGTGTAAAACCGAAACCGGAACGAAACCGAAACCAAAACCGAAATAAATTTTGAAGAACGAAACCAAAACCGAAACCGAAACACTTGGCGAAACCGAAACCCAAACCGGAACGTTATTTTGAATCGGTTTCATTCCTTGGTAAAAACTACTGTTTCTACTCAAATGCATGAAATGATTTCATGAATTGGCCTACGCATAATGCTAGTAAATGACAGAATGAATTACAACAAACACATCCTTTTGACATAATGTAAGCCAAAAACGTTGGTCCAAATCAATCCGCAATCAATTTGGACATTGCAATTTAGCGAACATTCTCATTGTAAAATCTCATTTTTACAATTTCATAGTTTCGGTTTACATTTATAAAATTCAACGAAAGCACGTACCTACTTCGGCTGAGTTATCCATTTTCGGTTATTTAGTGTACAAAATAAACGCAAATTAAATGAGTTTGTACAACATGGCCATTAATGTAGCGATAAGTTGTACAACTTGCCAGAAAATCTAAATTTTTTGATCTTTCATACAACCAAGACATAAATTCCTTCAACAGGCCCACAAACGGTGCAATCTTGACCAAAACAACACCAAGTTGAATCAACGGTCGCTACGTTTATCTCTTTCTTTAAGAAACATCGGGCGAAAATTTCAACTGCTCCTGTAACACTACCTTATATAAGTTGGCCTTGCTATCATCCTCACATATGTTCATCAGAGTATACCAACGAAGGACGAGTTAATACAAGGAGATAGCGAGAGCACAAAACTACTCTAGAAAATTACACGCACAATGACAAACATGAACAAATGTACAACAAACAATCAGTAGAGTTCCCATTTATATCAACGAGCAGCTTATTAGATTTGTTTTCGTTTGTACTACATATGTGCATATATACATATACACAAACATATGTACGTACATACAAATATATATTTAACCATTCAAACATATGTACATACATGAAAACATCGCTGTCCATAAGTACATACATGTAGGAATGGCCTTCCCGTTTCTTCATCTTCTTTAACAAAACGCGGTTATTTAGTTTAATAATTTAATATTACATACTGTTTATTTAACAAAACGCACATATTACAATTAAACAACTTAGCACTAGCAGAACATTTTTCTGCGCTTGATGGCGGCTGACAATGCAATGTCCAGTCTGTTCTGTTCGTATCGTTCTCTTCTCTATAGCCTTTTCGATAAGCTAGATTCCTCTATTCGTTATGTAGGGCTGCATTTCTATGTTACTAACTCTGAATGGCCAATTTGTCCTAGCATCGTAAGTACTGTCCGTAAACTAATCCCACATTCGGCCTTCCTGAGTTTCATTTGGCCCCGAATAAAAAACACTACTCTTATTTTAGTTTTAAATATTTTGTGATTTTCTCTATTTCAGCCCTTCTCATTCTTCCTCATCATTTGCTTAATGGCGTTTCTGATCCTTCATCTAGCTTTCAACAAAACCTTATATATATTTTTGTAATCAGTCATCCAAAAACTTCTTTATCTTCAATCGACATTGGCTTCATCCTTGTAGGGAATTACCAATCTGTTTATACTCTTCACTCGTACTAGGTCTCAAAAGGTCATACAAATTTATCACTCCTCTGCATCTTGTCAACTGCAGTCCTACTGTAGCTCAAGAGAATTAGCTTCTAACTTTAGTGCCTCCTCTATGCCTACCACCAGACATAAAACTTCAATTATGGCTCGCTAGTAGCAACAGAATGCACGCTCACACTCTCGTTGTCCACTTTTACCATAGTCCGCAACATCTCACCGAGCCTACCAGTTACACCGGACGCCCGCTCACGTCCTCTATGTACACTACCGCTAACGCCTTCCGCACCTCGATGTGCTCACACGAGATTATTTCCCCGGCCCTCCAGCCGCAACCCATTCCTCTCCGTGCCTTACCGCACCAACCTACGAGCTTTTATCCACGGTCCTCCAGCCGCAAGCTATTGCATCTTCACTGATCTCTTTCCGCTGCTACACTGACTGCACCACCTTAACCTGACCATGATAATCAACCTACTATGTTTCGAAACTTTGTTGGCAATTACCAAACCAGTACCGTTTCACCTCACCTCTCATAAAACGATTAAAATTTCTACGCGCCCATCATAACGTCTTAACTCCTTTTTTCTACTATCTTTCACTTTAAGAAAATACTCTTTGAATAAAATAATTCTCAACTCACAGTCAACTAACTTGGCGAAATAATGTTTAATGACATTAGTTTCACCTTCCTTAATTTAACACTAAACATTTAAATTTACCTCTAAAGGCATCCTTTGTCTGACACTTGAAATCACTGCAACTCACAAAGTCTTCTAATTAGTCACGGTCTAACAAAAATTCTGACGGTCCAATTTGTAAAATTCAGTTCCAATTACGCTCTTACTTAAAATAATTTACATAACAAGCTCGAATGATACCAATAATTAACAATTATGTTAAATTTAAAATAATTTAAAAGGACCGCTGATAATTAAACTTTCTATATTTTGCTTTTAAAATTACTCAAACAATTCACCTGTGCATAGAACAAAGGTTAAAGCAAACGCATAAAAATTGTGAAAACTAACACTCTAATGTAATTTCATTTTTACTTATTCTGCAATAAGCGTGTCACTCTAATATTGCTTGCTGCCTCCCACGCCACCGTCCTTTGGTTTTTGTAGTATTCCTTCTTTTTATAAAAATGTACTGTACAAGGCTTTATGTTTGTCAAGGCAAGTGGTGCCGTTAGACGTATCGTTTCGCTGATTTGAGGTACCGCTTCGCTGCTCTGAACTAG